GAGAGAGAGAGAGAGAGAGAGAGAGAGAGAGAGAGAGAGAGAGAGAGAGAGAGAGATGACGTTTGCAGTTAAGGGATGTATGTGTGGTGCTGGTGAGAGAAGGATGTTCTCTTCCCTTTGTGGAAGTATGCCACGTGGCAGTGGTCTTTTAATAACATGGTGTGTTTGGCTGTGGCATGTGCGTTGCTCATGGATTTTGGCTCTCTCTCTTCTCAACTTCCCTTTGTTAAGTTTTCTGCAGTTGAGTATCTCGAGGGGTGAGGTCCCTTTTGCCTGGATTTATTTGTTCTGGACCGTGTCATTCAGAGGATCACCGGCCAGGAGCACAGAATGACACAAATGACACGAATGACACGAATGACATGAATCCTTTTTGCTTGGATTTCCTTGTTCTGCGAGGCCCCACTTACCCACAGAATGCAGACCTTCTTAAGTGGGGCCTTGAAGCTGGATAGCATGGTATTTCTTCTTTTTCTTTTTTCGAATTTTGTTAAACCTTCTATGTACTTTTTAAAGCTTGGTAAAAGGGGTTTATGAAAGCAAGTTACTTGAAAGGGGGTACTTGAACCACCAGTACTTGGCCCAGCTATCGGCCGCGGAAAAGAATAGAGTAGAAACGTTTCTAGTTGGATGAATTTGGGCGCTTGTGTAGTGGCCCGTACGTTTCCAAAAATCGTGGCACGTTAACGGGCACTTCTTAGGAAGTACTGGTGGTTTAACAGACAACTTGGATAAACTATAAGTACTAAGTAGATATCAACTGACACAAGTATTTGTTCCCACATTTTGGTGCAATTGCTGCAACTGCAGTACAGGTGTGGTGCAAGAAGACGAAACGGCAACGGCGCTGATATTTCTTCTGTGTATTTGTTGCTTCGTAAACATTTATTAAGGAGGTCCCTCTAGAGTCAACAGTTTTGGACCAGACTGGTGGGGCCACCATGGACAGGGTGACGAATATGCCGATGGATGAAATCATGAACTTATCATTTGAGGACTTGGCCAGCATGTTGTAAGTATCGTGTGTTTTTCTACTTTTTTCAAGTTTTTTGTCTAAATTTTAATTATTTTTAAATTTGGACCATTTCTCGAGTTAGCGTGTCATCTTTGAAAGCACGGGGGCCATGCTAATCTACTTTCTCTGTATCGTTCCAATTTTAACAGATGTCCTGAAGGACAGTTTTTCTCCCTTCTTTTGTTTTCGTTCTTCTCCGCTCCTCCCCCCCCCCCCCCCCTGCATGTCTTTTGTGGGCCCTTTTCCTCCCTTATTTTGAATTTCTTTTTCTTTTTCTCATCCTGCATTCTTGTCCTCCTTTTTTTTTTCTATTTTTGCGTTTCTCTTCGTTCTTTCTTTTTACTTTTTTTTTTTTTTTTTCATAATAAAATTGGACCATTTCTCGATTTATTTGATTGTGTCATCCTTGTGCAGAGGCCATGCTACTCTTCTCTGCATTGCTCCAATTTTAACCAATGTCCCGAAGGGCTTCTTTCTGTTACTTTTTTGTTTGCGTGTCTCCTGCTTTTGTCCCCTTTGTGTGAAATGCTTCAAGTAGCTATTAAAATTTAAATAGTTTCGAATCTTTCGATGGCTCGAGAAATCTGGAATGGTCCAAATTTTGAAACTGAAAAAAAAAAAAAAGGAATGACTAGAAGATTAGCATGGGGAAGGGGAAAAAAAAAGTTGAAAAAAAAAAAAGAATGGCTCTGCGAGTCTGGCCTGTCGTCCTGCAAATTTACGGGTTATGGTTATTGCGAGGCTACGCCCGCTCAGCCCCTTCGGGGCCCTTTTTGCAGTATGTCGGCCGCCCTAAGTGAAGGCAGGCGCGACAGGCCCTCAGGGCCTCGATTTTCAGGGTACCCCGCAACTGGTGAAATTCAGACAGTTGTGCTGCGCCAGTTGGTTGAAGGCGCCCAGGCCCAGACCATATTTTGCAAATGTATCTGAATGGCGACCTGGGCCAGACACGTGGAAAAGGCCGTGA